ACAGAGCATCACTTGCCCCAGAGTTCCTATCTATACCTTGTGGCTAATAGCCACACCAGAATCACCAGAAACTCTAAGGTAGAACCAAAAGTTCTTACCATAGTGTTTTCAGCAGTTCCCAGAGCTCCCCTTTTCACTTTCTTGGTACCTCTAAGATTTGCCAGGAACTCCATGGTAAGAATTTCCTATAAGTAAATGAGGCCTTATGTTTCTGTATAATTTTTCTCCAGCTGCTGCTAGAAGGAGCCTCATGCAACATGACCTGGGGGGCAGGGATCCCCCACCTAGGGCATGACGGCCTATAATTATGGCATTCTGCACTGGGAAGGTTCAGTGGTTTTTGATGCTTTGCGCACAGAAAGCCCACAGTTCAGTCTCTGGCACCTTCCGTTAAATCCCCCCCCCCAAAAAAAAACCAAAATCTCTACCTGGGATTCTGGGGAGTTCCTGCTTTTCAGAGTTTACTGAACTGGGTGGACTGATCTGGAATAAGAAGTCTTCATATGCTTTCGGCCCATTAGTAGATCCATTGCTTTGCGTGCCAAAACTCCCAGATGGGAACCCTGGCATTTCCACTGAAAGGATCCCTGGACAGCTGTACCTAGGCTTACCAACCTCTAGGTGGTATCTGGAGACCTCCCAGAATTACAACCGATCTCCAGGATACAAAGACCCAGGGCTATCTTTGGGCAGGAACGCACAGGAACGGAGTTCCGGCTGGCTCCTGAGTTGGCCACACCCAGCAGGAACTCATTAGCATAATAGGCCACACCCAACAGCAGAAACTCATTAGGATTGGCTACATTAGGGGTGTGTGGCCTAACATGCAAAGGAGTCCCTGCTACAAAAAAAGGCCCTGGGTTTTGACAACAAACAAGGTAAACAGAATAACAAGCAAAAGGTGGGCGTGGCTGGATGACCACACTTCTGGCAACCGGGGGCTGCGACCTAATATGCTAATGAGCTGTGGTGTCAGGGTGTGGCCTATTATGCTAATGAGTTCCTGCTGGGCTTTTTCTACAAAAAAAAGCCCTGCAAAGACCCTGGAGAGAATGGCTGCTTAGGAAGGTGGATTCTATGACATTATACCTAGCTGAGGTCCCTCCAAACCCTGCCCTAACAAGGCTCCACCCCCCAAATCTCCTGGAGTTTCCCAGCCCAGAGCTGGCATCCCTCGCTGGAACCAGAGTAAAGGTAAAGGTTTCCCTTGCTCGAAAGCCAGTCGAACCCGACTCTAGGGGGCGGTGCTCATCTCCCTTTCCAAGCAGAAGAGCCAGCGCTGTCTGAAGATGTCTCCATGGTCATGTGGCCGGCATGACAAGACACCAAGGCGCATGGAACGCTGTTACCTTCCCACCGAAGCAGTACCTTGCCAATGTTGGATCAGGCCAAAGGCCCATCCAGTCCAACACTCTGTATCCCACAGTGGCCAGAAATACCAGTGCCATCAGGAGGTCCACCAGTGGGGCCAGGACATTAGAAGCCCTCC